TAATATCAAGTGACATACAATTCTCTGCCTGTTTCCTTCTAATCATATAATCCTATTTGAAATCAAACCCCAAATAGCTTTTGACAACCTAGTCAAACATGTTTGATTCATGGACAATAAACAGAAAGGGACAAAAATATCGCCCAAGCTCCATACTATGAACACAGATGATGCACATTGCATTTTGTTCTTTCAGTCCATTTTTACATCCAGCTTTACACTCAAGCATGCTGAGCTGCCGGACTGTTTCTTAGCATCACATACTTGCCCTATTCCCCCTTGCCCCTAACAGTCACTGCTTTGGCCTTTCTCACCTCTCTGTGGCCCTACCCCCGCTATCTTTTTTCCCACAGCCTTCTCATGTCCTTACTCCCCTCCTAAAAGGACTCCTGCATATAGGACAGTCTTAAAAACGATGCGTCTTTAGATTATTTGGCTCTGTTGATGCTACCTGTGTTCCTTCATCATGAAGAATTACTTAGAGGTAAGACAAAGATGGGATCAAACTTATGTGTGATTAGAGTGACAGTTTGCCTGAGCAGAAATATTGAATTATTTAACACAGTGATTCAAAGTGATACACTTCTGCACTTTTTACTGATGGATGGCAGAGAACAAAGTATTCTTTCATCATAGTATTTTAACTGTGTGTATATATAACTTTCTATGTATATGTGTGTGTGTGTATATATATATATATATATATATATATATATGTATATATATGTATTTATAACTGTAAAATCTTAAAATACACCTGAACATATCTGAGCAATCGTTAATTTGTTAATTCACTGTGACAACATTGATTGCATATATAGGGGCAATCACATTAGATAACTGGAAAAAATGCATTTTGAAGTATTCTTAAACCTGATCCATTACAATAATCATAGTAAAAATATATCTATACAGTTTGTTTGCTTCACATTTTTAGGGGGGTAATAGAATGTAATTCTGCTGATCATCAACTGAAACCCAATTCAAAGACAAAAGCATCTTTAAGAGGTTATATAACATTACTCTAGTGTGACTTTTTCACAATGTCACTTGAGATGGTTGAGGGTGCTTCATTAAAATTATGTATGTCAGCACCCCAATAAGTATTTTGGTGTCGTGTGTCACCAATAACAAGCCCTACACATGGAGTGCACCTAGTCTTGTCAGGGCACCCAGTGGGGCAACCTGTGGGTGACCCAGAGTCTTGGTAGGCTTCACCCCGTCATCTGACAGAACGCTACTCTCACTCTCCTCCTCCTGATATTCCCATTGGTCTCGATTAATCAGCCATGGAGTACGATTTATTCAGCTACTGCCGGAGCAGATCCTGTGGTATGTGGCCCCAGCAGCGGCAGGTTGAGAAGCCACCGTCGACACTGTCTTTAGGCCCATTACTCTCACCTCAGAGCCCACACATAAAAGAGCTTTGAGCTGCCTGTTTTTGAGGGGATCCGGTGGGCCTTTTGTCTTGTAAAAGCAGACTAGATCCAGTCCCGCGTGCAGACAGAGGTGTTTACTAAACTGGGCACTGCTGGAGTGGGGGAGATTACGTGTGCCACATTGAATAAACATACCCTACATATTGGCAAGGGCTAACAGCGCGGTTTGGATGTCTTCAAGAGCAGTATTGTTTAAGTGGAGATGTTTATGCCTGTACTCTCACTTTATATTAGTACTTCTAGTATTTTTTTCACTGTTGCTTGAAAACGTAAGACACTCATTTTAACAGACCAGGGTGCTTAAATAAGCCCTCAGAGATATGTACATTAAGTGATTTGACCCATGGCATTCGGTGTTTGGACAGATGTCTCCCGCATGTCCTGGCCAGACATTTCCTGTCTAAAACCTTGTATAAAAAGACTTTCACATATTAACTTAATCAGCTAAAAATAACTGTTCATATTAGCTGCTGTGTGTGTCCATTTTCTTGTTTAATTTCTAAAGTATAACATTCCCGTAACCTAGCTACAGGAACTTCAAATGTACCTGTTGTGCCAGTTTTAAACATTAAATGTAAATACTGACATTTTTCTTTTACTATTGGCCCTTTACATACACATCCGGCTCATTACCATTCTATTTTAGAGCTGTTAGCACAAGCGTTTAGAAAATGGATTTGATTTATTTATTTCAGATGCAAATTGAAATGTAGAGGAAGTAGCGCTAAATACATCCAGAACATTCATTAAAATACTTGACTCACGCCAACAAAACATACACTTTTCTTAAATTCCTGTCTTACTTAATAGTTTGCTCCCTGCTCCTTTGTGTGTATGGTATTTGCAGTTGTGTACATTGGTGAGCAGTGAAGCAGTGAGCTGTCAGTGAAATGCCAGTGCTCTATAGAAAGTGCTGCTAAAAAAAATCTCCCAGATAAAGAATGTCAGCACACCCAGTCAGCACAAGTTTGCACAATATAACACAATCTCATTCAGCTGCAGAAATTATCAGGCCGTGCACACATCCCATTTCTTTGGTCACTTTAATTAAAAACGATGCTGCATTTGGGTGATACCAAATGGCATGGAAATGATTCTGTGCTCACCTTACCAAACCTGTCCATAAAATCACTGGAGTGTTGAAAAGAACACACTCCAGTGGACACTGACCGACCTGGGTGCAGCTGTCTGATTATTCTAAAAGATCCGTCCATGGTCCCAGTGGTCTAATGATGGTCAATTTCTGTTTCCTGATATTTTTTGGTGAGGTAAGCTAAGGCATAATCCTAAACTGAGTATTTTCAGACTTTATCTCACATGTCTCATATAATCATGAGTAATATGTTCTTAGGCAAATCTTTCAGATTCAGTTCAGAATAATATTTCTCTGTGTTTTGTATATAGATGGATAGATTGATTGATCAGTTTGGACCCCACTCCCTCTGTTGCACCTCGAGCCAGACTCAACCCCAACACATGCATATTGTTTATATTATTTTTATATTGATTTCTTAACTTATAAACACACATGGAACACAACTAGTTTATTTAGTTATAATTTGGCTCTGAAGAGACCTTTCAACAAGGGAAAGTCACATAGTAAAAGGGTGGACGGGTGGGGGCATGTGTGGTCTTATATAAGGCCCAGATGGTCCCTGTGACACATGTGATGCAGGGAGGTCTCTGTGTTTGTGTCTGTCTGACTGAGTGACCAGGAGGCTCCCAGAAGCCAGTGCTATGGGCTATAACACCTGGGCAGCAGCAGGGTCAGCCAGGGGAGAGGAAACACAAAGTTTGCCTCCTTCCTGGAGGCTCAACACCACAACATGGCCGAACCTGCAGACAAGTCCAGTAAACTTGCCTGACCTGTGTTGGTTTTAAGTTGGTTTAAAGAGAGTCTGTCAATGTCTTGAGTAAACCCATTTGTGGTTTCCACACACATGCCTTTCTTCCTCAAATTTGCACCATGTTGCACTGAAGTGCTGTGATGACTTATGATTTGCACCAGACTGATTGGACTTTAACCCATCACATCAAGGCAGCTTGCCCTGCACCATCAAACACAGTACCATGCAGATTTTTTGCAGTTAGTTTAGAAATAAGCATACTATACTTTCACGATATATGGTTAAAAAAAATCATGGTTTATATAGCTATACCACCATAATAATGGATGATCTCAGGTTTGGGCCTAAAATTATGATGGAATAGTATAATTTGGTCCTAGCCATCTGTTGTTGTTTCATCATTATCACTACTAATTCAAATTACTATGCAGATTTGATACTAGTATCTGGGCATCATTTTATTTAAGATTATAATGCTCCATTATACTGATAAATTGTGTGAAATTAATTATTGTTTTATTTCTTATTAGTAATATGTTAAATGATTGGTTATTTAAGCTGTGCTCATGATTGGACCGGATGTGTCTTAGCAGCATACCGAAACACACAGCTGCAGAGCGCTCTGTCCAAAGTCAACTTGAGAAAGGGACTCTGGACTGGAGACATGCTGTGGCTGTGGACACTCAGCTGGAGTCCTCTACAGACACCTGCTGTGATAGCACTTCACTACCACTCTTTTTGTACCAACAACATCCATGTTTGCTGATTTTTCATTCTGTCCCACCTGCATCCTACACTCCCACTCAAAAAGGTCACGGATGTAGGAGAATTCTTCATCTCTGTTTCAGTGTTATAATACGAGTGCATGTTCAGACTCACAGACACAGGTCCAGGCTTTGGGAGAAAATGGCGTTTGTTTTCTGTACTTGTTGCTGCTTAACCTTCTGTCTCATTAGTCACGCTTGGCCAGGGCTTAATGTTGATCGCCAGCACCTCGGGGCTAAAATGTGCAGAGCATTTTTACATCATTTAGTACTTATGACCGCACTGTCTTTTTGCTGATGAACAGCATCCATTGGTTTCATGGAGAATGAGGGGTTTGTGTTGCTGTCAAGATTGGATTGTGTGAAAGGAAAAAAAAACAAATTGAAAAAAAAAACATTGCCTCGATGTAGTAACCTGCAGCCATGTGTACAATTATGTAGCAATGCAAGTTTAGTGCTCTATGATTACATCTGCTCTTGTGTCTCATGCTTTTGCGCTTCCCTATGGATAGTCTGTTGTGTGAAATAACAAATTAGATTTCTGTAACGAGAAGTTTTTAAAGCCTCTGATGCTTATAGATAACTATCTAAAACATTACATGGATTGACATGCTAATGCAAAAAAGAGAAATGTTCAACATATTCTCCAGTAAAGGCCTAAATCTCTTCATCTGAGCACAGAGGTGAAGGAGAGTGCACCCATCTGATGCTAGCAGATGGAGTGAAGAGTAGAAGCAGAGAGGTGAGGAAGAACTGCTAATCAGGATGACAAGACCAAATGCTTTAACAACGTTCTTAAGGCACTAGTTTTCTTTTCATCCTCTCAGCTCCACTGCCCTCTGTACCTAGACAGATGAGCAGATGACAAAAACTCTTGTATGTATATGTGTGTATGGTTTTTGTGTGCATCTTAAGGCATACTCTATATCTTTCTTTTTATTGTTTTGCAGAATGGAGCGGTTCCCGGCGAGCCAGTGAAGAAAGATGAAAACTCCCGCAGGGGCAACTGGGGAAACCAGATTGAGTTTGTGCTCACCAGCGTGGGCTATGCTGTAGGCCTGGGTAACGTCTGGAGGTTTCCATACCTCTGCTATAGAAATGGAGGAGGTGCGTAGTCTTCTAATGTCTCAGGGGGTCAGGGTGGAGTTCACACCAGAGATTCTTAGCTAGTTAAAGGGCTGACAAAATGACATGCATAGACATGTTTTCACTCACTAGAAACAGAATAGGTAAAAATACTCTACCTTAGTGGTCAAAAATCTAAATAAATAATGTATACACATTACTTCAGTTATGTCATAACCACATTTTGTTTTGCACACTCTCACCTGACTGGACTGACCTAGTTCACATCCCACAGAGACAAACTTTGTTTTTTCAAACCACACACATTTCCCATGGGGTGAGAATTATTGGTACCGCACTTTTTGGACTAGAACTTTCATGACCTTTGCATATCACTTAAGTTCCGGGATGTAGGCCATTACAGTAGTGTTTGCAGCATACCAACAGTGTATGACTCAACTGTGTTTTGTGTTGCTATACCTTGCTTTCTTAACATAATATGTTGTGTCTTCAAATGCAGGTGCCTTCATGCTGCCATATTTTATCATGCTTGTTTTTTGTGGCATCCCTCTTTTCTTCCTGGAGCTCTCCTTTGGTCAGTTTGCCAGTCTGGGATGCTTGGGTGTCTGGAAAATAAGCCCCATGTTCAAAGGTAAAAGCCATTATGTGTAAATGCACAGCTGAATGATCTTAAATTTTTCTTCCTTTTTTAACAGGTGTGGGTTATGGCATGATGGTAGTGTCCACCTACATTGGGATTTATTACAACGTGGTCATCTGTATTGCCTTCTACTACTTTTTTATGTCTATGACAAACTTGCTACCATGGACTTACTGCAATAATCCCTGGAACACACCAGACTGTTCTGGTGTCGTAGACTCCAGCTCCTATGTTAATTCCAGCTTGGCTAATGCTACTAGCAGCCTGCTAACAGCAGTGAACCGCACAAAGAGAACCAGCCCCAGTGAGGAGTACTGGAAGTAAGTGCTTTTGATGGAAGGATCAGTTATTTGTGGATATTTACAGTGCATTTCAACATTATTAGGTCCAAGTGGAGTGGTTATCATCAAACCTACAGAACACCACTTTTTGGTTCTTGTGGCCAAGTTTTATAATGTAGAGTTGTGTGTCGTGTGTTGTTTTCCGTGTTATACAAGTAACCCCTTATCACAGTTGACACAGAGTTCAAAATTGACTTGCACCTGTTGGATAAACTCACTTCAAACAAGCCATGTATTTGAGGAAAGCACTCCTTCAATATTTGAACTAGATTTGACTGAACTGCAGTTACTGATTTGTGTGGGATTACATTAACAAGGACAGGAAGAGAAAAATACAGGTTTGTAGTAAGTTAGAGGATTTACTATCATCTGTCAAATTGCCAACAACTTTACTAAACAGTAAATGGCTGGTGTTTTACAGAAATACTTTATTGAATCCAGTAACATGCATTATCTTATTACAGTCACTCTCTTCAACTAAATCTTCTTCTTAAACCTACACTGTGTCTGATAAAAATTAACTGCAAACATCAGTGTTTAATATACACCAAGCTATTTACTGGAAATCTAACCATCACTTGACTCTGATGCACTCTTTGTTGATCAGGCATTATGTATTGAACATTTCCGATGACATTGGGAACTTTGGTGAGGTGCGCCTCCCCATCCTGGGCTGCCTGGCTGTGTCCTGGTTTGTGGTCTTCCTCTGCCTCATCAGGGGAGTCAAATCATCTGGAAAGGTCTGGCTCAATACTGTTTTATGATACACAAGTAACATGATTGCTTCCTTAACATAACACAGTACTTGTTAACCCCTACGTTTTTGTAGGTTGTATACTTTACTGCAACCTTTCCCTATGTGGTTCTGACCATCCTCTTCATTCGAGGCATTACTTTGGAAGGAGCCTTCAACGGCATCAAATACTACCTGACCCCTCAGTGGCAGAAAGTCTTGGATGCCAAGGTGATAATAATGAATGGAGAAACAGAATGGACGGCTATAACGTAATTAAACTATTTTGTATTGCAGGTTTGGGGAGATGCTGCATCTCAGATTTTTTACTCACTCGGCTGTGCCTGGGGTGGCCTGATAACCATGGCATCCTATAACAAGTTCCACAATAACTGTTTCAGGTTGGTACAAAGGATTATTTGCAATTGTTTTTTAAAACACACATACACATTTTCTGTGTTGAGTGTACTTTCCCTTATTGCAAAATGGACACAGAAAATAGTGACAGTGAAAGTAGTTATAAATTAAGAAGTATGTGTTGAATTGATCTGTAAGACAAGTCATTCCTGTTTCAAGAGAATTGTGAGTAAAGGTTAGTTAATGCAGAGCTGGCAGAAATGCAGATACTGTTTAGGAGCTTTTAGAAGCTGATTGCAGGCTTTGTACACGAAAGAAGTGAAGAAGTGCAGAAAAGGTTAGTTCGTTGTTAAAGAGGGAGAGGTAGATAAGAAGTCCCCTTCTCTCTTGAGCACATCCACTCAGACTCAGTGAGGACACGACACAGCAGGAGGACAGAAAAGAAAGATATAATTTGTGCCTTTTGCCAGTACTTCAGGGTCATACTATCTGCACACACAGCTGTACAGCACCTAATCAGCCAGTGTTTTGCTGCACTGTCCCCATGGAGTGGCTCTCAGCTCTCCACCAACAGCCCATTGATAAACACAAGCAGTCAGCACCAAACGCCCGTCACTGGTCCAAGAACAGAAAGGTTGGCATCAAAGTCTGTCCTCCAAGACATCCTTTGTGATAAGTGCACACAGCTCCCGTGTTCAAGCACTACACTAAATCCGCTCTGAGTCACAGAGAGAAAAAGTTTGCTCAGGTATGCTAAAGATATAATTCAGAGTTATTAAGTTCACACATAACACATACAACTTTGTGACATACATTTAAAATGTATTATCAAAACTTACACTTTATAAAAACTTACACTTCAAAGTTTAAGTTAATTTTTCACTTCAAGTTTCCAACTACAGTCTGTCATCAAAAAAGAAATGCCTTCAATTTATTGTTTATTCAACTTGTTTTATTGTGTCTTTTTCTAAACAGAGACAGCATCATCATCAGTGTTACCAACTGTGCCACTAGTGTGTATGCTGGTTTTGTCATCTTCTCCATCTTGGGCTTTATGGCTCACCACCTGAATGTCCCTGTGTCAGAAGTGGCCGACCATGGCCCAGGTCTGGCCTTTGTGGCTTACCCAGAAGCCCTCACTCTGCTGCCCATTTCTCCTCTATGGTCACTGCTCTTCTTTTTCATGCTTATCCTTCTTGGACTCGGAACACAGGTAAATAAACAAAACACTGAAATTAGTGTTCAAGAATCAAGCTTTAGTTTTCAGAAAAAAGCCAATCTAAAAGAGACATATGACTGGGGCTGCAACAATTATCTGCAGCTGAATTAATCAAGTATTTAAATAATAGTTATTGTATTAAGGATTATACCGGCTCAACAACACATGCCAAAATTGATTTTATAACTAGACAGCACCATTATTAAATCAAAATGTTGAAATATAATAAACTACACTGTGTGCACAAGTATTAGGCAAGTGGGTATTTTGACCATGTTTATATACATATTTTCCAACTCCAAGCTGCATAAACTTCGACTCTGGTGATATGTATTTGTATTTGTCTAATGAGGGAGGGTATGACCAAAGATCAACACCCTATATCAAGGTATGCAGAATTATTAGGCAGCTTCTTTTCCTCAGGCAAAATGGGCCTAAAAAGAGATTTAAATGACTCTGAAAAGTCAAAAATTTTAAAAAGTATTTCAGCAGTCTTAAAATAACAAAGATATTGGGGCGTGATCACAGAACCATCAAGTGTTTGTTGCAAATAGTCAACAGTGTCACAAGAAATGTGTTGAGGAAAAAAAGACACAAATGCAAGAGATTTGAGAAGAATCAAACATGAAACTACCAGGAACCATCATCCTCCAGCTCTGTCAGATTCCAGAACTGCAGCCCACCTGAAGAGTCCAGAAGTACAAGGTGTTCAGTGCTCAAAAACATGGCCAAAGTGTGGTGGCCAAGAAATATCTGAAGACAGATTTTTTAAAGGTTTTATGGATTAATGAGAAAAGAGTTACTGTTGGCAAACCAGATTAATGGGCCCATGACTCGATCAGTAATGGGCACAGAGCTCCACTTCGACTCCAGCAAGGTGGAGGTGTTATGGGTATGGGCTGATATAATTAAAGATGAGTTTGTTTGTCTTTTTTGGGATGAAGATGGACTCAAAATGAACTCCAAAACCTACTACTAGTTTCAGAAGACCCTTCATGCAGTGATATAGGAAGAAGTCTGTTGTAAATTTTAAGTTGTCTACTATTCTATTCTCATGAAAATGAGAATGGAAAATGTTCATTTTTCATTTAGTTGCATAGTAATCTTGCACATTGTGCACACAAATTTTCTCCTAAGAAAGCATAAATTTCACTTTTACTTTCTTAAATATTCAGATTTGAGGTTTATTAACATTTTGGATTGACCAAGAGCACTGTAGTTGTTCAATTATTAAATTAATCCTTATAAATACAACTTGCCTAATACACACAGTGTATGTTTGATTTTCATCAATAATGCCCTACATGTATTCTATACCTAGAACCCTTCAGTTAGCATATTTCAACCTTTATTTGTTTAAAAAAAAAAGAGTATTATAATTCTAAATGTAGTTGACTACTAAAATAACCATTAGTTGCAGCATATAGAAAACAAACAGTATAACAAACATTTTAAAGTCCATAAAAGTTCATTAAAGAGCAGAAGTATACACTTTTAGTCTTAAAAAAAAAAATTATGTTCATAAAACATAATCCTGTGATTCATTCATGTATTCAAAGCCACTGTGTTTATGTGTTTAAGTCTGTAGTCTAGATAAATTACTGAATATATCACAGATAATGCTAGTTTTGTTATACTGTTTTGTTCTTGTAGTTCTGCCTCTTAGAAACCCTGGTGACGGCCATTGTGGATGAGATTGGGACAGACTGGATCATCAGGAACAAGACTGTGGTCACTCTGTCAGTGGCCATCCTTGGCTTTTTATTAGGAGTGCCTCTGACAACACAGGTGTGTGCCAAGAATGTTTGAAAGTCTCATTTTGTTGTTCAGAACTCGTTGTTTAACTTGCTTCTGTGTGCAGGCGGGAATCTACTGGCTGCTGCTCATGGACAACTATGCTGCTAGTTTTTCCTTGGTCATAATCTCCTGTATTATGTGCATTTGCGTCATGTACATTTACGGTAATCATTCTATCACCAAATAGAGAGTCTTAATTTAAACAAACAGATGTTTTTGTTTGTTTAAACAATATTTCTGTTACAGGTCACAGGAACTACTTTAAAGATGTCGAGATGATGCTGGGCTTCCCTCCTCCACTGTTCTTCAGGATCTGCTGGAGATTCATTTCTCCTGTCATTATTAGTGTAAGCAAACACAGTGCAAATACATTTGCAGTTAAATAACTAATATTTGAGTGTGTCTGTAATGCAAGAACATGTACTTGAGTGGAATACAGACATATGGCTGTTAGCTGTCCCATGTCCCGGGGCAGTAGCCCAATAAGAGGCGGGACTGACCAAGTCAACTATTGTTGTGGATAAGTGGTCAAATTTCAATCACTGTTGTTGTTTCCTCTTTCATTTGTCAATCAGAGATTAAGAGCTCTATTTGTCTAGTGATAGTGGTAATACTCCAGCACTAACTTGGGAACAGCATTATGCATCTAAAGCAAAATAAATGGAATCCACTTTCATATCTTTGAAATACAAGCCACTTATATTTTTATTTTTTGTCTTGTATAGTTCATCCTGATATTCACCGTGATCCAGTACAAACCTATAACCTACAACGACTACGTGTATCCAGGCTGGTCTTTGGCCATTGGTTTTTGCATGGCCTTGTCCTCTGTGATTTGCATACCCATCTATGCCCTCTACAAGATTTCCAGATCTCCAGGAGCTACCTTCAAAGAGGTATGCATAGTGCATATGTAACTTAATTGCATTTCATTAAAACAGTTTGTAGCATTTTACATGTTTTCAACCAATGTTACACAAGCTGTGCAAAGGAATGCGTGATGTAGGCGTGTTTGATGTAGTTAATTAAAATCCCAGATATGCTATGAAAACAGTTAATGTGTAACTATAAATAAGAGCTATGGTACAAGCAGCTATTGCATTATTGCCAACTAAAATGTGATAAAATCACGCTGAGGCAGGCAAGTTTCCTGAGTTTTTTTTTTACTTCTACAGAGGAAACGTGACTGCACCTTAAGTAATGTTTGAACCGAAAGTAAGAAAGACGTTATGGCTCAGTAGTCCCCTCTATTCAAGGGGTGTCTGGATAGCTTGTTTTATCGAGCCTATTGTCTTAAATCTATATTGGCCCTTTCCTGCTCTATTAGTGTCTTTGTGCTTTTATCAACAGCGATTAAGGTATGCCTGCCGTGCACATCCAAAGTGGGGCCCAGCACTCCAAGAGCACCGGACAGGCCGCTATGCACCCATGGCCACAGCCCCTGAAGACACAGTGGAGGCACGCCCTCTGAAGGAAAAGGAGGAGCTCAAAGAGGAGCCTAAGGAGGAGAAGAAGGAGGAGATCAGTCTCACCATTCAGGGAAGCAACGGCTCCACCAACACACACAACAGCCCCAACCCCAGTGCATAGACGCCATGTGCCATCAGCCCAACGCCAGCTCCTCGCTCGCCTGCCCCCTGCCCGACCCATCCAAGCCACTTTCCCACAAGCCTTTGTGGGGGAGATCCCATTTGCTGGAGACCTTTACATATTGTAAAGGCTTATTATATCTATCCTAACCATCTATCTATCTGTGTGTCGTCTGTAGAGTCAAGTTTTAAAAAAGGAAGAAAAAATTGGATCAACTTCCAAAATGAATTGTGTGTTTGTGTGTTTTGTGAGTGAGCATGAGTGAGTTTTTAATTTGTTCCACATAATTTAATAATGCAGTTTTGTTTCTATTTTTCTGTCAAACTTGTGCATGTACATGTCATCTTTATGCAGTCAGTGTAGGGTGGAGCGTTGCTGCATGCATATTCTTTGACATAGAGACAGCTCACTTGTGTTTGCCGTGTGCCGTGTGTGTGGCGTGTGACATAGTGGTGCGTTATCAGGCAGAACGGATTGACAAGAGCCTGCACTGGCTGTACTTGTGCACATTGATGAGCAGGAAGATGAAATGGAGAAACACAGTTACTCTTGTTCATATTCAAACTATTATACATTTTTACAGCACATGGTGACCTCAAATTTAGTTTCCAACTAAATCTTAAGTGTGTTGTTTTTTGCTGCTGCCTCTTCAGTAAATGTATTAAATTAAGAGCACATGTTTAACTAACCAGACACGGAGTGGTATGATGCTTAGTGGGAGGTACTTCCACAATTTAACTAAAGCTGCTTCAACTGATGACTTCAGATATTTCAAATCATCTGCTTTTGAATTTAACAATAGTACTCTAAAGTAAGCCAATCATGACAGGACATCACAGCCAATTTCTCAGGGTCCACATGAACTGTTTTTTCACCTGTGGAAACCTTGTCCTGTTTTAAGTCATGTATTATATTTTAGGGAACAAAAACATTGCAAAGAAACATTCAAATTGATCATGTATTTTTAATCAAAATCGTGTTCCTTTATAGAACTGTTTTAGACACTTAACTGTTCTTCTGTCATTCTTGGTGGTCTAGTAAACTATTTCTTTAGCCAAAGCTGCCCTGGGCAGACTGACGGAAGTGTAACTGCGATTCTTTCCCACCTGCAGCCACAGTCACATTTGTATATGTTAAGCATGGTGCGTGAAATGTGAAATTTAAGGGCACAAAAGCAGTATGCATCACCAGTGGTGATGATCTAACCAGTGTTGGATTAGAGGCTGCTTCTCTACCTATACTGCAGTCGTCAACTTTAGTTTACTTACTAAACTCGATTTAAAGTCTTCCAATATTTGTTTCAATCAAATGTGTTGAAGAGAACAGGAGATGAGAGGCGCCGTGTGTGTTTTGCTGTTGTTGTTTAAGGTACAGGTCATAGGTCATGTTAAAGGGACACATTTTTGCTTACATCATCTTATGTCAACTGTAGCTAACACTGGGCCATATGCAAGAGTACACAAATGGCATCAATACCTGCCTTCTGCCTATGTGCAGTCCCAGTCTTCCTTTTCATGGTTTCATGAGATGATGAAGTAAAAGCATTTTATGATGCTTTAGTTGCTTGTTGAAGATTGCACAGCCATAACTTGTAATACAGTTTCTTATGTGCAGAGCAAAACTGTGGCCCTTTGGGACATGTGACCAAATCAGTAGTTTATATTACCTGAGTACTGTACATGTTTTACTAAAAAGCGTAAATGTTTGGTCTACAGAGACTGATCCAGTCTCCTACAGTCAGAACCTTTAAAGTAGAACCCAATGTGGGTTGTCAACAGCAACATCACCGAACGCGTGAATATCGAATAACTTTGAATATAGGTTTATTGTTTACTATAATAATGTCTCAGTAGTCTCTCTTGCAACTAACTTAGTGAATGATCATAAAAGTTTATTTTGTAAGAAAATAAAATCACACAAAAAATGTTCACCATTTATTTCCGGTGACACCATTTGTTGTTTTCTTGGTGGTTGGTGTGGCTACTTCTGTAGGGAGAAGCTGGTGGGGCTTAGCACAGAATAACTGAGTGCTCACTCACAGCAGGCCAATCACTGTGTGTCTCTGATCTGAAGGAGCTGTTTGTAGTAATGCTCGGGGAGATGTTTGCTCATGTGGGGAGCTGATGCCTGTAGAAGCTGGCTTCCATGCTGTACCATGCTTCCTGTTGTGGTCAAATGTGGGTTGGCATTTTAGTTTTTATGAACATGAAACTATCTGTACAAAATTAGTATTCAGTTTGTTGACGCATTGACAGTATTGGCCAGAACTAAACTGTGCAGTTTCTTTGTCAGACTACAAGAGACCCCCTGCTAACTCTCAGGGCAGTTAAGCAACAATCAGTTTGCAGTGCGAGCTAAATATTTTAAATCTGGAATAAATAACGAAAAGCTACAAAATACAAATAAGCACAAGAGTTTATAATGCAACAATAATAAAACAACAAGTTAGTTAATAAGTTAGTAAGCATTCCAAAACACGGCAACCGTATCTGGCAAACTGCAGCATCTATGCCTCCTCTTTAGTGTCCACTGCATCTGAGTACAATGGTTTCTAACATACTTGCATTTAGAGCATTACAGTGTTTTGTGATGAGAGCTTGAGTGCGTCCAGTTTACCTATGTGTTGCTGCTGTAGTAAGTGGATTTTAACGTTGTGCAGTCATGGTATGTCTTATTATCTCACCTTTACAGTTGTGGCTGCCCTTTGTACAGTAATGTAAAAAATATATATATTCAGACTGTATGTTGCTGTGTACTTTTCTTTTTGGAGTTGAAGAGGATGACCCAAAGGAGGTGCCAGAGTGTTGTTTTATTTTTGACTTTTATTTTCATTTGTGCTTCATGTAGTGTAACCTAGATGTCTTGTACTATGCGATCACTGTGAAGTAGTTTAGCTGTGTAGCCTGCTTGTAGTGCAGGCGTAGAGTCAGTATTGATGTCAATGTATCTAATAATGCCAGGAACTAGAGAAGTTGTATTCTACTAACATGTTCAGTGTATTTTGTACTAAAGGGGAGAAAGTACATATTTTATCTTTAGATTTTAATTGTTCATCCATGTTTAGGACACTACGTTTGGTTGCTGTTTTATTTTTTTTTCCTTTTTAAAGCTATATCAAAAGTAAAAAGACAAAGCCAGTTGATATAAAAGGCATTGCCAAACACTTGGATGAAAACTTGAACTACAAAAATGGGATGTTTTTACTGTGAACTCCCAGTGGACAGAAGTACAGATACATGACAAAGTTTTGATGCTGTTGCCTCACAATTGTACAGTTGTCTGACTTGTGATGAAACAGATGGATATGTCAAAAGAAAACACCAAATGACTGCTACCAGGTTTACTCAATCATTTCTCCATTCACATGTGTTATTGCATCGATGTTCATTTTGTCTAAATGTACTTCTGTGATAGAGGTGCACCACTCAAAACTGTCCCCTGGTTAAAGGTGAACTACGCAACATTTCTGGTGGGGTGGTTGCTGCCTGCCTTTCTCCATGGAGATGTTATTGCTTTTTCAGTAGTGTTCAACAATTTGGCATTAAACATATCAATCAATTTTTATTCAGTTACAAGTGTTTCTATTGTCTGGTGGCATCACCAGCTTGCATCATTGAGATACATCATTTTAATGCTATACTGTGGGACATTCCAACCAAGGCACATGAACAAGGTGGTGGGGCCCCCTTCAGAAAAGTTACATAGTGCACATTTAAAGCTCTGATACGTTGCTCAAGAATGTGTTAGCATTTGCTAACAGGCCGCTTCACTAAATGCTTATAGCTTGCTTGTTGTTGAATTACGCAGTCTGCACTGATGTTTCAAAGCACAACCGTTAACACTGTACTTATAAACTGTGACTTGACCTGATTCTCCACAAGCTACCAAACATTACCTCTTCTTATATTGTTAGTATGGCTCATGTAGCACAATTCTCATCCTCAGCACTTTAATCATGTTAGATTTACAGCCGATATGGAAATACACTTGTACAATGAAATGACTGAATTTCTTTTTCAGTTGTGTTGCTGATTTAAGCGCTCAACAAACACTGTGATGTTCCTATGCCACTGTAAATTGTTTAGGCAGAGAAAAAGCACAAATGAAAGAGAGAATGCAATGATTCTATCATATCTGTATCTAACACGTCTGTTCTTCAACCTTTAGGGCCAAAATCCATTGAAATGTCTTAGTCCTGTCATGTATATCGTAAACTGTTGAATTACAAAATGATAAATAAAATGTATTTTAAAGATCATCTGACCTTTCTTTATTGTCTTGGGGGGAAAAAATTGTCTTAGATTATCTTACTCAAAGTTGTATTTTGATCAGTTTATGCATGCAGCGTGGGACCCAGAATACCCACTTCTCCAAGACCTTACAGAGAGTTATCATTCTGGACTTGACTAATCCTGTTTTTTCTTCCATTTGAGGCTTAAGTTCTCACAAAATATTTTTTTTTGCACCTACTCCTTATCCCCGCCCACAACCTTATAATTATTTGTGTTATAATTATATATGGCCATTTATCAAATGGTTTTGCAATTCTGAACAAGATAAAATAGTTTTAGTAGTATCAATATTGCGGTTTGAACAAAATGTAGAATAGTAGAATAATAACACCAACAACAACAATATTCAATAGTTTTGAGTGTTCAGAGGTTGTGATTATTACTGAAAAATATATAGTCCTAAATACCAGAAAACGCTTTGTATGTCTTCTTGAATGTCAGCACAATTAAAGAATATCAAACGCAAGATTGAAGAACTTAGTTGGACCAAGTGGGATGTTATGATACTATTCTACCACTAGAGGGAAACAGCAATTCATACTGAATACTGCTTCAAAATACAGTAACCATTATTCAAACGCAACCAGGCTTACGTCTGAAAACTATTATTTTGAAGAAATCTGAAAAATAAATATGAATTGAAATTAAATGGCCGTAAAAATAAAACCTTTTTGACTTGGACATAACATAACTTTACTATGCATCTGTTACACACAAAAATAATCAATTTTGTGCATTATATTATATATTTTCCCCGGCATGTATCCTACAAATTTGTCCACATAAACTGTAGTCCTTTTCAATGTGTTTTTGGGTCTAGTTTTTGGGTCTCATTACGGCCATTTCCAAATGAGACACGAGGGGGCAGTGTAGCTCCAAATGTAACATAATGGTGTCAGAAACAATTAAGTGCAAACCATGCTGCAAATACTCCAGACTACTTCTCAGTTACCAAAAAGATTTTTCTCACGTAATAAGAACGTAACATTTTTTATCACACTGAGCACCAGTGAGGCAGTTGTCCAACTCTGACTACAATTATCTCTGCAACTCTATTTTGAAATTCTGACGGTTTACATTATAATGCACCCAGGGCTGGTTTAACTCAAATTTACCGCACGTACCAGATGTCACTACGTATTAGATCAATTGTAGTAGAAAGCCATATGCATTTGTATGGTTTCTGTATTTTGAGGGAGCAGACACAGAGCCAGTTTATCATTGTCCAGTTTGTTCCTACATCGCAGGCTGAGGCTGGTCAACTCTGCAGTGTAACCGCGTGGAAGGACAAGAAGGGCATTTCCTCGTGGCACTGAAAACAATTTAGCAGCAAGTGGCAGCAGCATTATAGTATTTTATCCAGAGGTGACCCGGGTCCTAGGAAAGAAGACTGAGCAAGTTGAACAACATCATACCAAAGGGTCACACAGAACTTTCAAAAAAAAAAAAAAAAAAAAAAAAAAAAGCCACAGTGAAAGTAAAATGATTGAACAGCCTGTATGCAAATAGCCTGTATTTGACGAAAAGTAACACTTTTTTTTTGTATTGATATTTTGCTTGCTATTACTTTAAACCACACAAGAGACAGAAACTGACAATTGCAGTCTTTTTTTATACCTTATTTATTGCATTTTTATTTCCCATTTGCCCACATTGGGGGAAAAAATATGACTCACATTATATGGTGTTATTGAAAAGCTTTATAACTCAAGTGGAGTTTTGTAGAGGGAGCACTTGGACTAGCTCAGTAGCATTGTAAACAAAGCTACATAAGCTGTAATACAGTGCAAGTTGGGAAAAAACAATGATATACATTTTTCAGACTATATGAATAAAAGCACTTACTGTTACTGCTGCTTGTCTATCATTTTCTTTTTAGTCTTCTGACAAAGTTTTCTTCTTCACTTTCTCTGGTTCATGTTCAGTGTTGTGTCCATCATGTCTCCGAACTGTACAATGACACATGTCCCCCTTAAAATAGGCAGACTGACTGAGGACAAGTTTGAAGACACCTGTGATGCAAATTAAAGGACACACCTAAGTTTAACATGTCCCTATTACTTACAATCTTTTGTAGGGGCACAATCATTTTTGTCCAGGCCAGTTTCATTAGTTGTTGTTGTTTTTTTGTTTTTTTTTTATAATTCTGTTTAACCACAGGTGAAAAGCAATGTTTGATTTTCATTGGACAATTTTCATAAAATGTTTATTTATTATTGCTTTTACAAGTTTCAGGTTATTTCAGTGATGATTTTTCTTTCATTGCCAGAGGGGTACTAACAATTTTGTCCACGACTGTATATATATATATCAATGACTAAAATTTTTTTTTTTTTTTTTCAAGCCAGATACAAGTTATTTGAAGTTTCTAACTCTTATACTTTGAGATACAGATGTTTTATGAAAATTACAAGGGGGAAAATCATTTTAATGAGCAACAGCTTGTTCATTTATGAAATATCAAAATGAGACAAATTTATTAAAATGTGTTTACAGTACTATTACAATATAACTGTTTGCCTATTGTTTTGATGCATGTGCATTTTTTACATCTTTTGTGGGAAATCTGGCTATGGAAAACTGAATTTGGTTGTGTTCTTTGTAAAGATCATTTTGTCCCCAAAAATTATTGATCTATTCTTATTGGTTTCTTTTCTGTAAGTTGCTAAAACTATTGCTAAACCCATAGGTCATAAATTTGTTTGTTTGTTTGTTTGTTTTTAATATATAAAAAATAAAAATATACATCAAACAAATATACAATACAATCATAAGGAATGGAAAGTGAAACGATGTCCTAAAATAATATAGGAATGATGTCCTATGAATCAGATGAAACCAGATCAGATATGGGTGTTTATATGTTTACAGTGTTCTCAGTTGCAGTAAAACACTCTAGATTGGGTTTGTGAGCGGGGGTTGCTCAGACAGGAGGAAATGACCTGGTCCAGATTGACAGCACTGGGTATTGCCACCACTTGAGAGATTACAACAGCAGTCTCCTCTGAGATGCCCTGACAGAATGGAGAAAAGAATACTACCCTTTATATTGTTAGAAACAATATTTTAAAGAACCAGGGTGATGGAAAAGCTGGTATGTCCTTTGGTGCATACATATAGGACCTAAACATTTTCATTTAGACCTATTTACAGTCATTGGTATATGTTTTACTACAAATGTCTTTTCATTATTACAGAGTGGCACCACTTGACCTAAAAAGTAGAAGAGAAATTCCTGCACACTATCTTACTTGCAAAGGATGATATTTATTTCAACTGAAACTAAACCTCTGCATAGGCCAGACTAATACCTCAAACTGTTTTACCACAATAGGTCTGAGAAGCCCTTTGCACTAAAGCAGCTTGAGAAAATAGTGTGTGAAGCTGAAGGCCAATGAAATTATGTGTGAGTGACATACAAGTTTGTCTGTCTGGATCTCAGTAGGAAGTATAAGTATGAAAACAGTTTCTCTTGCATTTAATGCTATGTATGGCATTCTTTTCAAAGTTGTTGAGTTCTTTCTTGTGTGTGTAAGCACAGAAGGTTCAGTTTGTCACATTTTTCTCACAACTTTTATTAAATGTTTTATGTAATTTACAACCAAACAATTCTGTGTTACAAACGTATTGTTATTTGGGTCTACAGGCTGCACATTTGTCTGAAGTGAGCTTAATTCTCCAGTCCCTTGGTACAGGTCCCAAGCCTGGATGAACACATTTGGTAGGGCATCTGGTGTTAAATAATATGCAACAAAATATGCAACTCTCAACTCTCACTTGTACAGAAATAAAAACATTTCAATTCCCACTTCGAATGTCCCATTTTTTATCCAGACAGAGCTCCTTCAAAAACAAAGATAAAACCAGTTTCTTGTCTTGAAAACTTTATTACTCTGTCTCAGTCTGCGGTATAAATATCAATGTCCTATTTAAGCTCCATGTCCAGCGCTCTGCCAGTCTTGCCAACACTGACGGATTCAGATGAGCAGCTCGCACTGTCGCTCGGGGAATCTGGCCGTTCATCACCGTAATGGAGGGGTATTGATCGCGGTGCAGAGGCATGATAGGCCCCTGCAATAGTAATGGAACAGAGATCTGAGATGAAACGCATCAGGAGACTGTGAGGAGAGAAGAGACAGGGAAACTACACCTGTTGACACTCATCTCAACACTGTGGACAGCAACACCATATGACAGAGACTACATAAAGGTTTGATATGATCAGATGGAACTACATTTCTGCGTTTACCTGGGCACATCTGTTATGCATGAAAGAGAAAATGGCAACAGCACATTTTAGTGTTTAGAATGGCTGTATTATTTCCTCATTGTAGTTTCATATCCTCACAGAAAATGCACAAATGATGAAACAGCTTGCTCATATTAGTGATAAAAGAAGTTCATGAAATACACCAAATCTCACTTTTTGTTTTCATTACGCATTCACATATATTCATATATCTCCATAAAACATTACCTACCATTGCTTGGTAGGTGGAGGAACCAGATCAATAGTATTTTCACCCATTGGTAGAGCAGAGAAAAAGTGTACTCAGATAAGAGTATTTCTTCAAAATAATAAAAATAATACTAATTACTCAAGTAGAAGTACAAGATTAAAAAAAAAAAAGAAATACTCAAGTAAGAACAACAAATGTAATCATAACTGACAGACTGGAGCAAAAACACAAATGCTCAAATCATGTAATAAAATAAAGCTTTTGTCACTTATTGTCTTGGATTTAGAAAGTGAAAAGATATAAGTTGGAGAAGTATGGTGTCTGAAAACTATTCCAAAAAGAATAATTTCACTAAAACGATACACAAATAAGTACACTTGGATAAACAAGAACAGTACTACCCATTTTTGATTTTGATATAGATAAAAATACTACATGGAACAGGGCTCTCTTTTGGTGTTATTCAAAAATGACCTGATAAAGTACCAGGATTTATGTTGTTGGCA